CTGGTCTTTAAGTTAATCACCTGTCCTCCAAGAGCACGGGGAAGGGTATGATTTCATATTCCTCTTTTGGGGGAGGTGGGCAAAGGAAGACAATGCTGGGAAATCGTTGGGAGCAAAAGAATAAAAAAGGAGAAAAGCCACACGCAACACAAACAAGAAACCCCACTCCCCTGCCTGTCACTAGTCAACCTAGGCCCTGATTCCTTCTGTTGGCTTTCTTTCCAGACAACACCGTGGAAACCTGGTTCATGTAGTCTCTGCAGACGTCTCCTCCTATCAGACTCAAACATGTTTTTTTCTTTGTTTCTGATTCCTCTCTGGTCCCCCAGGCTTTTCCCAGACTAGGGGTGCATCTTCCCTTCTCATTTTGGATCCAGCAGGCAGGTCCCATTTGGCCACTGTCCACTTCCTTCCATAAGCAAACCTGGGGTCCTGGGCTACATTCACGGCGAAAGGAATCTAAGAGTTAATAGGGCCTCTGGAACTGTAGGCTCAGTCAGTTTCCACTCTCCAGCAAAGAGCAGCAGGATCCAGCATTCAGGCTGGCCTCCAACTCGATATGATGCCCTTAAGCTATTAATCTTCCTGATTGCACACCTAGAGTGTTAGGATAACGGTGTACACCATTATGCCTGAATTCTGGGGTGCTGAGAATCAAACACAGGCTTTGTATGTGCTAAATAGCATGCTAACTAGCATCACCCCTAATTCTTCCAGCCTCTCTAAAATTGTTTCCCCCCATTTATTCCCCCCTCCCAATTCCCCACCCGCTGATGCCCTCTTCTGTCCTCTGTAGGTACTCCACACACAGACGTACATGCAGGTAAACACCCTTACACATAAAGTAAAAATAAATAAAGATCTATTGATATTTCTGTAATTTAAAGTTGTTAAGTTTATTTTTATTTTATGTGCACTGGTGTTTTGCCTGCATGCATGTCTGTATGAGGGTGTTAGAACCCCTGGAACTGGAGTTACAGTCTTAAGCTGCTATGTGGGCACTGGGAATTGACCCCAGGTCCTCTGGAAGTATGGCCAGTGCTCTTAACTGCTGAGCCATCTCTCCAGACCCCCAAAATCTACTGATATTTTTATTATAATGTGCTACATAGATTCAATATAGATTTAAATGATATCTTTATATTGTTCTAATGCTGATAATTGCTTCTTATATTTTAATTGTTGCTGCACCTGATTTATAACTACTTTGAACTACTATCAGTGGAATCCCATTTGTATTAATGTTCCAGAAAATGTGTGGACTTTGTTCATTTTTATTGCCTTTTAAAATTGCATTGTTAATTACTATTATTTATTTGATTATGATAAATATACATAAGCTTCACTGTATCTACCTTTTCAAAGTTAATATCCAAAGTGCTTTTCTGTGAATATTTAATACACTTGTAACACAGTCTGGGTATCACCGGCTGTTTTCAAACTGTAACTCGTTACCCATTACAAACTCCTCCCAACCCTTGGCAACCATCAAGTCCACTTTATACCTGCTTCTAGGACCTCTTATGAGAGGAATCCCACCTGAAAGTGGCCATCATACATTTTACTTCTGTGACTGCCTTCCATCCATTATGCGAGTGTGAAGCGGAATTCCATTGTGGTTTAGATTTGTGTTTCTCTAACGTGTTAGACGTTTCAGGGAATCAGATTGTGGCTTTATAATTTATCCCGTTGGTATATATGCTGTCCTTCCGGTCTTTATTTTCCCTCCTAAGACTTTCCTTGGAGATTTGTTTGGCTGCTTTCACTTCTGGCATTGGATGCTGCTACTGGTGTACGCACGGTGGATTTGGAACCGGAAGTCTGCGGTGTACACACAGGAGGGACGTGTACAGAGAGATAGCTCCGTGGCTATGGCTTCGTAGAGCCCCGGAGCTAACATGTCTATGTGGAGTATCGGCTGAAGACACTAAGATGTCTTTCTCTGAGGTTACAGGGTTCTTTCAGTCTTTGTTTTTTTTTCTGTGTCACAATGTCACAAGGATCCCCAGGGTACAGGGAAGCTCTAGGCAGAGTTATGACACAGAGGGAAGGCAGTCGCTTCTGGTACTTCAGAGGTGAGTGGGACCTTGATCTATGCTTAGCTCGTGAACCGGGGAAAAAAAAAAAGAATGGCCAAGATTCAGCCTTTACACTTTCCAAATGTAGCACTATTATCCAGACCCAGGTTATTTCTAGTTTGAAGTCATAATTTTTCTCCTTGATTTATAAGATGTTCAGAAATATAGCTCAATTCCATGTGAGTTTCTTCCCACTATCAACTGAGACATTACACTATTAAGCTAGTTTCCCTATTTACATTTATTTAGAGTTTACAAGTTAAATACTTTCAACATGTTCCCAAACAGAAAACAAAACAAAAAATCCCGTAGGCTATTTAAGCTGATTACTATCCTTTGCTAATTAACGTACTGTTTTGTTGTTGTGGAGTTTGTTTTAGAGATGGGATCACTATGTACCTTAGTCTGTCCTTGAACTTGTAATTTTTCTGTCACCAATGTCGTGTTAAGATTTTAGGCACCATTCCTGGCCAATATGCTATTTTAATCCAGTAAATTAGTTCTAACAACTTTAACCCCTTTAGTGTTTTATGTAGAGGACGTGTATCTATGCCCATCCATTACTCCAGTTTAATAATCCACTTATTTCCTGGGTCTTTTATCTGTGATCTTCCCCTTCTCTTCTATAGTACATCCTTCAGAATTTCCTTCCGAGTTTGGCTGGCAATAACATTTCCTAGTTTTTGCTATGTCTGAAATTTCATTGGTTCATTTCCTTTATTGATAGTTTGACAACCTTCCGCTCAGTCAGTTGAAGACGCCGTGTCTCTTGACATTCCTACTGCTCCTAAGAAGACTGCTCTAAGGGCCACTTTGGTGTACATCTGTTTCTAGTCTCTCTGAGGCGGCTATATCTCAGGTTCTTTAGTTTCTTAACACGTATTTAGGGCTGGAGAGATGGCTCAGTGGTTAAGAGCACTGAGACCTGAGTTCAGTTCCCAGCATCTACATATTGGCTCACAACCATCTGCAAATCTTGTTCCAGGAGATCAGGTGTCCTCTTCTGGCCTATGTGAGGACCTCACACATGTGGTACACAGACATGGAAAGCAAACCATGAAAGTAAATAGTTTTTTAAGCAAGGAAGGTAAGTAGCTATTTACAATTTCCTTTATTTGTTTTTATGAGATTTGTTGGGTTTTCTGGGTCTTAGGTTTAGCATTGATCCAAATTTTATTTGATTCCCCCCTTCCCCATTATCTATGCTATCTTCTTTTGGAACTATATATAGAACATCATAGGTCATCTTCTTAGTTGTTTAATGTTTCACTGCTTCTTTTCTCCTTGTCTTCCTGAGGTCTGTGACAGGATATTTGTTCAGAGCAATTTCTAACTCACCAATGTTTTGTCTTCAACTATCTTTAACTAGTCACTTAATTTTTACTTTCTTTCTTTCTTTTTTTGTTTTTGTCAAGACAGGATTTCTCTGTGTAGCTCTAGAGCCTGTTCTGGAACTTGCTCTGTAGACCATGCTGGTCTTGAACTCACAGAGATAGACCTGCCTCTGTCTCCCGAGTGCTGGGATCAAATGTGTGCACCACCACACCCGCCTGAATTTTACTTTCTAATATGTATGTATGTATGTATGTATGTATGTATGTATGTATGGTAATCTAGAAGTTCCATTGATATATTCTAAAGGTGTATTTTTAATTGCATGTGCATGAGTGTTTTCCTGCATATATGCGTGTGCTTGATGCCTGTGGAAGCTAGAAGAGGATGTTAGACTTCTGGGAAATAGAATTACAGCCAGTTGTGAGCTGCCACATGGGTGCTGGGAACTGAACCTTGGTCCTGTGCAAGAGTAGCACGTTCTCTTAACCACTGAGCCATCTATCCAGGTCCCCATTTACATATTTTTAAAATCTGCACAGTAACTTTTCTAGTTTTGGCTCCTCAATCATATTTTCTTTCCTTTTAGATTTTGGTCTTTGGAAGTAGGGTTTTCTCTATGTAGCCCTGGCTGACCTGGAGCTCATTCTACAGACCAGGCTGGCCTCCAGTTTAGAAATCCAGAGTGCTGGGATTAAAAGCACATGCCACCAAGCTCATCCTTGAGCATGTTTTCAAAGCTCTTAAAATGTTCCGATGCAAGCTAAGGTGTTTATTTACACCTTTGCTAACCGCTTCAGTAAGGAAGTATTTCTAGGCCCAGCTCTGCTGTCTGATGCTCTGCTGGCTTCTGCTCAGGAGGATTCATTTCTTGGTGCTGAAGCTGGAGCTGCTGGAGCTGCCTTTCTGCTAGAGGGCTTTTCTTCTAGGGCTTTGAGTCTTGTAGGGCTGCTAGCAGTGTTTACCCTGGTATAATATCGTGCAGGAAAACCCTACTGAAATCACCTTCTCCTTCCTCAGAACTTCTCAAAAGAAACAGTCTCCTAAGGGGTGATCAATGCATGAAAGGACTGATGGCGATTCCTATCAGCAGGGACCAAAACCCAGATTAACCTGAAGTGGGAACACGAGAAAGGAGATGATGTGGTGTCTCATGCTGCAAGCGCAGCAGAGGCAGAAAAAGAAATGTCACTCTTTTATTTTTTTTCAATAGGGGTTCATGTAGCCCAGGTTGGCCTCAAAGTCCTTACTTAGCTAAGGATGACCCTGAACTTTTTTCTTCCACATCCTAAGTGCTAGGACTACAGGCATGTACCACCAAGTCATTCATGAGGTGTATCGATTGTACCCAGGGCCTCGAGCATGACAGGTAAGCTTTCTACTGACAGTGTCCTCAGCCTGTTGGTAAACTTTTAGGTTCTCTGCCATCTGTATTTGGGACCAACTTAAGGAGGGTTTTCATGTGGTTACAGGAGAACCTCTAATAAGATAAGTAGTCCCTTCTGTATTTGGTTCCTGAGCTATTCCTACAGCCCCCACTGTAAAGCAGGAGCCCCGGTGAGATTGATTGTACAGCGCGTATAGACTCACCCACCTGTGAGGGTCATCTGGATCACAGTTAGGAAGAAACTGAGTGACTGCTTCTGCTACTTCTTCATTGGATAAAACATCCCAGAGTCCATCGGTAGCCAGGATCAGCACGTCATCTGCTTCATGCTCATATTTGGAGAGATCGTAGACTCTTACCTGAAAGGAACAGGGAGACGGGGTGGGTGGGTGGTGTTTTGTTTTATTATTATTATTTTTGTCTCTAATCAAGTGGCTTCTGATTCCTGCTTTTTCCTGTCTGGCCTACTATTTTTCACAGATGCACTACACGGTATTTGATCCCAGAGCAAGCTTTGTGGATTGGGTAGCCTCTTTCTGGGACTTGCTTACACACACTTAGGCCTATTCACAAGTGGGAACGGGGCCCAGGAAGGGCTTAATAACTAACAAGAAAGATATGAGTTGAAAATGCAATGCTTGAGCTCCAGTTGAAGTGACAACTTACACGTAGACCTTGTGTGAGCCACGATGAGCACGAGGCTGGCCCGCTCAGCTTCCTTTGCATATATTATGAGCCACCCTTTCCCAATTGCTATAAATATAAAGTTAAAAAAATAGGTTCTTCCATTTTAAGAAACAGTCTGTAGGGGAGATGAAGTCCATTTGGGATTTTACGAAATGGCTCCAGGCATGTTTATTAAGGACTAAGGAGACATACTTTGTTTAGTACATAACGTATTTGAAGTCATTCTTGCCTATTTTCTCTAAGGTACAATGGCTACAACACTCCCCCTCCCTCCAGTAAGGATGAAGTTCTGATATTACACTTGGGGTTGACAAACTCCAATATGGACAAGTCACAAAAGAGCAAAGCTCAAAAGATGAAAGTTCAAACTGCATTTCAGTTGTTTGTTTATTTCAGAAAGGGTTTTTCTATAGTCTTGGAGCCTGTCCTGGAACTCACTCTGTAGACTAGACTGGCCTCAGACCCACAGAGATTGGCCTGCCTCTGCCTCCTGAGTGCTGGGATTAAAGGTGTGCACCACCATCTGGGGGCTCAAGCTACAGTTCCAAAGCATGCTAAGAGACAAGTTTGATACCTTCTTTCCTCTCGTACCTTGAATGATAGTGATATTACAGTACTGGCCTAAGAAACTCTTTACAAAGGATGGAGCATCTCTGGAAAACCAGAAAGAACTAAGATGCAAGTCTCATTAGCGTGAGCCAGAGAGCACAAAGAGAAGTTTGGGGGTTTCATAGCCATGCTTTCCTGATTCTGCAGAGTCTCCCTGCTTACATTACTTCACAGAACGAGGACAAACATCAATTTAATGACTCACCCACTTCCCCTCTCTCAATCCCTTTACCCTGCATGCCCGGAAAAAGCTCTGGGGGAGTGTTGAGAAGAGAAGAGAATGTGGCATAAGCTGCTGCTCCTGTGTCCCTCCCCATGGTTACACTGGTGGCATCTGGTCATCTCCAGTGTAGGTAGCGGGATTATAAGAGGTCTACCAGATGGTTCAAATGCAGCCTTTGTTCTACAATGATTTGCCTAGGCCAGTGACATCCTTTAGGGACAACCTGGTGGGGAGCCTGAAACTATATGGCTTTATATATATATGGTTGCTGGGTGTGTTGGAGCCACCCTTCCTCAAATGTTGATGTATGGACCAGTCAGCCAAGGAGCCTGAGCACAAGCAGATGCTTCTTAAGTTTGGAGGTAGAGCATGAGAACCTACAGTTCCAGGGTGATGTCAGAGGGGCAAATGCTTGGACCACACTTGGAGTAGCAAGGTCACAAGAGTCCTACTGAGCCTGGAAATTAAAACCTCTGTAGACTCTGTGATGCCAGACACAATTAGTCTCCTGAGACTCTGGGAAGGACAGTCAATGTCACTCCTGGGCTCCCAACTCCAAGTCCTACCTCGCCATGTTAATTCCATGAGAATGGAATGTGTTCAGTGGGAGCTGGCTAGCTTCCCACTGAGGCTAATCTACAATAAGCTGCGGCGATCATCTTAGCTCCGCCGAACAGGAAATATTAAGTAACAGGGGAGGTGGAGAGTGTAGGTGGCTTTGGCTCAGTCTTATATCTGTAGTTAAGAGGAGTTTCCATTTGCCTCTCTGTCCTTCCTAAAACAGATCTTTCCAGGTCTGAAGATAACACCGGATCAGGATCTGTCCTGTGAACAGGGTGCCCACATGGCTTCAAAATGCTGTTTGCTGGTCCAAGAAGTGGCCGCTTGATTCCTTCCGCCTAAATTAGCCTGCCCCAGTCACCTGATGGAAATCTGGTCAGTGGAACCACGTGGGTTCATACCAGCATGCTCAAAGATGCTGCTCTTCAATTTTGTCAGCAATGGGAATCTTCACCAGTTTTAAGCGCATTCCCACCCTCCGAGTACTAATGCGGTTTCATTAGCCAGCACGAAAATCCCTTTCAATACCGGTTTTTTTTTTCACACAATTTTTATGTAAATAATACAAAGCCGGTAGCAAGCCCATTCCCTGAGGCACTCCACAATTAACAGCCTTTTAGGTTTTTTACTGCTATCCTTTGTTTCCTGCCCTTCAGCCAATTTCCAAAGGACTTTGCCAACTTTCCACTTACAGCTCTGGTCTTGTGCATTAACCTGTGATGCAGAACACTCTGTGAAAATGCTTTCAGAAAAATTGGACTGGTGTGCGAGCCATCCCATTCTGCACTTAGGCTTGCCAGCAACCAGGGCTTCAGTGGACGACAGTGATAATGGCGGACCTTCCTTCCCTGAGGGTGCTGTAGATCTTCCTCAATGAGAAGCAGCCTCCCCTCCCCCGCCAGGTTCCTCTGTTCATTTCCTGAAATAGCTTTTCTTGTTCCTGGAAGCCTCACATGAATCTAGTGGGCTCAGAGGCTCAACAGAACCAAGACGTCTGGAAGAACGTGCTGCAAGGTGCAAGGAACACCTTGGGGGAAAGAGGCTAGAAATCACACTGAGAGTTCCTAATGGCTTCCCCTCCTTGTTCCGGTCTACAAAGGAAGGAAGGGAGGGGCAACTAGAAGAAGCCTTGGGAGTCTTGTTTTTTTCTTTTTGAGGCAGGGTTTCTCTGTGGCTTTGGAGGTTGTCTTGGAACTAGCTCTTGTAGACCAGGCTGGTCTCAGACTCACAGAGATCTGTCTGCCTCTGCCTGCCGAGTGCTGGGACTAAAGGTGTGCGCCACCACTGCCCGGCTGGGAATCTTGTATTAAGTTAGAGTGATACACAGATGTTCTTTGACTTAGGAAAGGGGTTATGTCTGATCAACCCACTATTAAATTGAATGTATGGTAAGCTGAAGATGCACTCTGTGCACATAACCTATGATACATCACAGCGGAGCTATTCTCCTGCGACCTTGTCTGTCCAGGCACTGTGATCTCAGTGCCACTGTCCAGCAGTGGTAGAGAATATTATTCATATTACACTTCATCCTGCTAGCCAGGTAAAAGATCCAAATTCAAAATACAGTTGTATACTAGCATTGAATAAAGCGATTCCAAACCAAACCAAACCAACCAAGTCAAAGGCCACCTGTTATCTAAACAGCAGAGAGGTCTTGATTTCCCAGCCACTACTACCTCTGGGTATCGACTGCTGCTAGACAGAGCTGATGTCTGCCTTGATGACCTACGTCATCATCTTATTACAGACCCATCCATAAGACACTAGTTTCATAGCGTGATCCAACAGGCATAGCTTGCTGACTCTGACGTGGCCAAACAGTTACCAAAATGCAATAGGCTGTTGATGCAGAAGCAGGAGACTCTCGCATTTCCTTCTCCTATACTCAAGACACACACTCGGTGCACGGTAAGGGGAATGAGTGGGAGGACAAGAGTCTTGGCTAATACGCCCGCCCGGGATGAATCAAAGTGCTGACAGCCCACAGCTCTAGCTTCCCAGCATTCAGAGATGTGCTTACCGTCATCAGCGACACCCACGTGACACAGCAGCTTGTGACTCCATTTAGCGCTCGGCTGTAGACTGCTGTCTCAGCGTGTGTGTGCTACATGCCCTCTCTCTGTCCTATTACTGATATTTTGCTGGCATGCCAAGAGATCACAATACTGCAAGCTGACTTAGGTGTCTTGAACTAATTTAAGAGAGGACCTCACCAGTTTTCCCACTTGGCCCAGCTCCATGGCTTCTCTGGGGGGATACCTTTACAGCTTTTGTGCTGGGGTCAAAGGTCTGAGCCACCATACCCTGGCAACCTTTACGGCTTTTATGTCTTCATTATCTCAGCAAATTTGTTGCACCTTTTTCTCCTGGTGAGTGAGTGTGCAGTGTGGGACAATGACAAGCTCTGTGTGGCTTGAGGAGGGAAGAGGACTCATGGCTTCAAGCTTCAGTTTCTCATAAATCTTTGGGACTTTATTTATTTGAGATAGGTCTCCTGTAGCCCAGGCTGACCTTGAACTCACTATGTAGTTGAAGATGACTTTGAGCTTTTGATAATCTACCTTGACCTCATGAGCATAAGTGCTGGATCACAGGTACCCACCACCTTGCCTGGTTTTGTGCAGCACTGCCGTGTTGAGGATTAAGCCCAGGGTCGTGTGCAAGCCAGCTAGCAATGCCCCAACTGAGCTAGACGGCCCTGCGATCACTTCTTTTTTTTTTTTAACTGAAAATCAAGGAAAATCAGATTATGTTAGCTCTCCTCTTCTCACAAAGCTGTTATGAAGGCCATGGGGTGGAGTGTGTGTGTGGATGTGGGGGGGGGGGGGGAATCACCTGAGTGGATCATCGTCACCACAGCTCCGGTCTCAAAGTGGCAACACCAAGGATAAGATGCTGGGTGGAAACAAAGGGATGAGAGGGTACTCTGGGAGCCTGGGGTTCAGTTCCAAAAGTCTCATTTACAATAACAATGACTAGGACTTCCTATAGTGTCATTGCCAGGAGAGTCAGAGGTGGTTCACAAGATAAAGACCACCAAAGGCCAGTGGGAAAGAAAGCCACATTAAGTCTCATCCTAGCTAATCCAAACCTTGAACTTGCAAGGTCTTATACCAGAAGAAACACCCCAGCCTGCTTTCTCTTGGTCCTATGAATCAAATAGAGTGTCTTAAGACGGACATTGTGTCATGCCACCAGGATGGCATCCAAATTCTCTATAGAGACTCTAACCTACACGACATGTCACAAAGTCAGAGCCACACCTAATGGCAGTTG